AATAAATTGTCGGGTAGAATAGAATTTCAAGCAAATGTATGTTTCAATTAAAATAATTAATTTTTTAAAAAGGAGAAGAATAGGAAATTAGATTTTGAAATGTCGATCAATCGATATTTTGAGATGTTTTGTCGATTCTTATCGTTTCTAAAAATTTTATAATAAAATGGCAGTTTTATTTAAGGAACATGATAACTCGTCGAAAATAAGTTAACAATATCTGTTCGATAAAAAATTATAAACGTTATGAAACAATGAAAAAGTCACTCCCCTGTTTGATTTGCTGTCATATAGTATCAATTATAATGATTCAAACGTATCGTGCAAAACAAGAATAATTTTCTCGAGGGGAAATAAATTATTTTTACAGAGTGTGCGCAGACTTATGCAGAGTTTTATGAAAAGTTTTAAAAATCAAGAAGTGAAAACATTCTTTTTTATATATAAATTTAAACAAAATATAGTAATTTAATTATAGAAATTTCCCTAATTATAGTAATATCAAACGTTCCAGAAAAATTTATCTCGAATTTCTCTAAAATAATAAATATGATAAAATAAATTTTAAAATTGAACAAATAATAAGATATTTCTAACCTAATCTAAAATTATGAATTTTTCTTATATAAAATAACACAAATAGTCAATCCATATTAAAATATTATATTATTTCGATTTTTTCGATGAATTTAATCAAGGAATAAATTTTATCCTCTTTGGCATTATCTTTAAGAAAATCGCACATTATATTTCAAGCAGTTTAGGATAAAAATGATTTAGAAAGATGTATTGATAACAATGAAGTAGAAGAGACTCTATTTTTTCCCTACGATAATTCTGATCTGGATAACACGATCGACCAATAGGATTGAACCTGTACGAGGATCGGTATTAATTTCAATCTTCTGACCAGCAAACTCCATTCGAGCTAAATCCAATCTGGATCCGGTAAAAAGGAGAAATGGCGAAGCACTACGTGACAGGAAACGTTCACAAGTCCGGAGGACTCTTTATCGTAATTTATCATGACCTTTCTTACAAAAGAGCACTGATGTTGCGTTACTTGCTTCACGTGGAGGTTGCCGGCATAATGCTGTACGAAAATAATTCTCTGTATTCTAAAAATTGTTCTTATTATTATTAAATCACAAACGAGGAGAAGAATGAGGAAAAAAAAAAAGAATAAAGACATCAGAGGATGTTATTATTATCCTTTTTTTTTTTATTCGTATCTTATATTATATTCAAATCTCGACAACAAGAAAATAGAATTTCTTGTTAATACGCTTGCATCAGTGCTCTCAACAATTTCAAATCTGGTATTTCACTCAATCCTGGGATTGAGAACGAGAAGAGAACGAGAGTTAAAAAAATCTAAATCTAGAAACTTCTTATCGAATTGATCTCGATATTACAATATTACAATATCCTAAAAAATTACGATATCCCACGATATTAAAGTATTACAAAATTACAATATATTACACGAACATTTTAACGTTGTACGATATTGAAATAAAATTGCAATTGGATTGTAACGAGGCAAGCAGCTTAAAATTTCATAGACAATATCGTTGCAATTTCTAAAGTTCCTAATTTCACGTCCGAGCACCCATCGAATCGACTAAAAATAAACGTTTCAAGATCGGGGGTCACCGGAGTCAGCGATTATCACATTATCGACGCGACCTTACTACGAGGTTCAGGCCTGTTCTGCACAAATACATCGTTCTTTTCCCCCTTAAGGCTAATCAACGGCGCGCGAAAAAATGTAATCGATTATAAAACGAGTCAATAAGATTTTTTATTATGGTTTTTTTGCCGGTTTTAATGGCGATGAACGGAACGAATAAATCATCGGTCACGTAGACTTTATCGTTTGTGGCCTTCGAAAGCAAACGATACCGATTCGATATACACGTTACGATATTATTCGATCGATCGAACGAAAGAAAAGTGATTCGATTTACTATGCTCGCAAAAAATATTTTTAATATTGATATTTGTTATTATTTAATTGATAATTACTTGGCTATCAAAATATTAAGATTTATCCATCTTTTAATATTTCATTATTCGAATGATTGATCTTTACGTTAATTTCAAAAGTCTACGTGAAGAAACTCAAACACAATTTCAATTTTTCGAAAATTAAACATTTTAAAATATCCAAAATATTTAAAGCTGATGTTGGCGAGTATTTATTAAATACTTTTTGATTTTAAAACAATTTAACATAAGAGAGAAATTTCATCGGGAAAAAAAGATACTATAAAATATTCAATTGCGAAGAAAGTTGTCGTGCTTGAGATCCTAAGGGTAAAAAAATTTACATTTTACTTGTTTAAACATCAAAGAACGTGCGGAATATTAAATGAATAATTAAAAAATGAATAAATCTTTACATTTCTACAGAATTCTAAATAATTAAAAGGTTTACATTTTTAACGATTGAATAATTAAGTATTAAAAAAAAGTTTTAAAAAATTGAAATTTAAATACATTTTTGAATGAATTTTGAAATTTTAATTTTATCATTTGAAACATTTTTGACGATCAAATATTTTATTCGTTTGAACGTCAAAGAAATTAAAATATTATCATTTATTTAAAGTATCAACTCGTCAAAAGAACAAGAAAATTGTACGAATAAAAAGGACAAAAGATAATAATAAAAGCGCTTCGATAAGACAAGATTTATTAAAAAGTTCTCGAGCAAATGAAGCCTCTGTAAGCCTTCTACGCGTGCATTTTTCTACGACGTTATCCACTTTCTACATTATTATCCGGTAAAAATCTAAATAGTGGATAAAAACGGGATAAAGTGGCTCGATGATAGAAGCTTCTTAAACACGAAACTTTTCATAAACATTCACCGTGCATATTTTCTATATCGTTTACCAAGTTATCTTTTACATGCATCACAACACTTTAATGAGTCTTAAGAAAGAAAAAAAGCTCTTCTCTTTTAATTTTTTTTAAGAGCTGACCGAGTTTTTTCGAAACAAATTTTAATTCTACCCGTACACGTTGGTCTAATAAATTTTCAAGGAGATTTTTAGAATATCTAATAATTTTTCTATTATCTATCTTTAATTATTTTTAGACCATTAATTATTAATATTATCGTGCGCTCGTCAAATATCAAATATTTCAAGTCAACAGTTCTAACAACTTTCATTCTTTACAACTTTTTTAATCGTGCGAGAATTACGAATGATCGAAAAAATACAGGGAAAGATCGCGAAAAAAAAGTACGTGACAAACTTTGATATTTCACTTCTTTCAAGAACACTTCTTTCGAATCTCATAAATTATTCAATTCCAATTTGAAGAACCTTTTCGTGCAAAAATAAAATAGCAAAAAAAGAAAAAATTTATTTCCAAAATAACTTTTATATTTCGAAAATATATTCTACGTAATATATATACACACACACACGATTCTTCCACGATTCCTCGGATAGAAGAATTTTTCTCGCTAAGGTTACCACGAAATGCATACGAAAATATCTATCGTCTCACGTTGATAACCCGAGAAACACGTTTCTCGAGTCGTTTAACTTCGGGGATGGCAGATGTGAGATCGCTATGTCAGCAACACTATCCCGCCCCAATCTATCAGGCAAACTATCGAGATACCCTGCTCGAATTCGAAATATCGTGGGGGGGACAATATGGTGGTGGCCTCCGATAATCCGGAGATATTCGGGGATATATTCGAGGAGGACTGTCGAACAGATTCTGAATTTCGAGGGAGCAAAGAGAAGGGTTTTTTTCCCTCCCTTACCCCGTTTCGAGCCAATTTATCAGGTCTGGGCTCGGGACCGGTCTGGATTTCGCGTCACGTGCCGAAATCCTTCAACGACGCAAAACTTTCATTGCGTGGCACGGTAAGGTAAGAAGGAGAAAACGGCCCTCGAGGGAGTCTGAAGACTCGATTAAATAGAAAAGTCGATTAAATACAAAAGAGACCAGAGGATTAACCAAGTTCGAGGTTCGTCACGCACCGTAATCACATATCATAGATCCTCACGTATTCTATTAGGTTTGTTGCATATAAAATGATCGATTTAAAGGTTAGATTCCTCGAAGTTTACGAGTGGAACGCGTCGATGGTTATTATAACGGAACTTCTCTATCAGCTGTTAATTGAAAGTTTAATTTTAATTGAACATTGGTTCGATTAAAATTTAATCAACAAGACTGTGAAGCTTGGAGAATCTGTATTGGACCGCGTTTAGATTATATATTGGGTATTTATCGATGGGACGTTTAAAAGATTAAAATTATTGATCAAATTTTCAAAGCTTTTTACTTATATCGATATGAATCGATGTTTGATAATTGATCGAAAATTTTTAACGTGGAATCAATCGAGCTTATATCTTGCTACTTTTCGAAATTTTGTTTCTACATTGCTTGTTATATATTATACTTGTATTATATTATTCGTCAATTACGTTAACGATTAATATCGTTATTACTCTATTACGGGTGATTGGGATAATTCTCATTGGTTATTATGCTGTTATATATTATTATGCGCTGGCTATAAACCGTGTTTATGCGACGTCGAAACAAATCTCGATCTGTGGCCAACTATTGACCCCTTAATGACGAATTCAAGTGGCCATTTTAAGAACCGGCTCGGTTCAATTCAATGCAACTCTGTCTCTCTCGTCCTTTTATTGATCATTATAAATCGTTACCAAAATTGACCAACAACGTCCAGCGATGAGATGGGTTAGAGCAATTAAAATTAACAATGGCCGATCCCTAAAATTTTGGTTCTACGATTCTACGATCTTCTTCGTTTCTTTAAACGAGAGAAATATTTTTATAAAATTTCGATCATTTTTTATATATTTAATATCCTATATAGTTTCATTTCAGAAAATCTAAATTAAACTATCTTTAAATTATTTCTAAGTTTTTTTTTAATTAATCTCGAGAACGGTTTCATTTTCTATATAATACTTATTTTTTTATCGTTTCAGCTCGGCCATCATGCGTGACCGGTTGCCGTGGAAGTAAGTGTACAATTCGAGCTGATTCTTAATTCTTAATAAAACGATCTACGAATCGTGTAACAACGTGTTTTTGCTTTTTTGGAATAGTGCACCCAAGCAAGGCGTATCAGGAAGGGCGCACGTACGTGTATAATTTGGAAGGATTGTCGGTGACATCCATCACAGATGCGCAAGGAGATGCGTCCCTTAAACTGTCGGCCACCGTAGAATTGTCCGTGAAACCGGATTGCATTAATCAACTACGGTTGAAGAACGTCAAGATCAACGGAGCGGTAAAACGTTTTAAATTCTTCTCTCGTTTTTTCCACTCTGATTCGACATAATTAACATTTTTCTCCCCTTTTATCAGAAATTCACGTTACAGAGTCAAAGTATCAAAAGAATAGTTTTATAGGTTCACTTTTACTTTTACATTTTTTTTTTTCAACACTTTGACAATTTTCCTTTCGCGCTAGGAAAAATTTATTAAAAGAAAGAATGGAACCACTATTATTAAATTTTAGAATACAACCTTCACGTTCTTTATCGGCGGAAAATAATCTTTGATATGAAAATTATATAAATGTATATTTAAAAATTTACTAATTAAATACTATTTGCGTTATTTTCAATTAGTTCGCAAAGTCACGCAAACGACACGTCAAAGCGTGCACACGTAATAAAACTCGAATTGATTTCGAAAATTAAAAATGTCGCTGATATAACTTTATATAATATTTTTTTTTTTCGAATTGAAACTAAAATAAAATAGTACTTACAGTCTGATCTGCTGCTGATGAATAAATGTACATTTCAGCCACCGGTGATCCCAGAAATCGAACAGTACGCAGTCCAATTCAATTACCACGATGGCCACATCGACACTCAGCTCTGCACCGAGCCAGGTGATTCCCAAGCATCCCTCAACATCAAAAGAGCAGTTGTCTCCATGTTCCAATCGGCCATTATGCAGGATAGCGGTTCAACGATACACCACGAGGTTCGTGAAACCTGAAACAATTTTAACAACTCCATGTTATTCAAAGTGATTCGAAGATCAATATCTCACGTAATTAAACCCTTCTCTATCTGCCTTGATCGCAAACTGTCTCTCTCAAGAATCGAATAACCCAAAACAATCCAATACTTATTTTCTGTCAATTAAATTAACAATTTAATTTGTTTCAATTGGCCCAATCGCGTGCAATTGAAAGAAAAAAATTGAGCGAAAACAATTTCTTTATAAATACTCGAAGACTGATTTCAACTGCATCCACTTCGCTCAAATTCAAAGATCGTCAAAAAAATTTAATTCCATGTTTAGACCGACGTGATGGGAACGTGTCCAACGGAGTTCAATTTCCGCAAGGAGGGTGATTCTCTGATCGTGAATAAGAACAGAAACCTCGCCGCGTGCGCGTTCCGCGAGAACTTGAACCAGGGCCTCATATCTGGAAACACGGACGCGGAGGCAGGCGTGAAATCGACTCCTCTTCTCGGCTCGCATCAGTCGATCGAGCAACGTTTCAAGCGCGGCATCCTGAACAAAGCGGTCTCCAAGGAGCAGTACTTGCTCAGGCCGTTCAGCAATGGACACGCCGGCGCGAGTACGAACGTGGAAACGACATTGACGTTGAAGAGCGAGAAGGCGGACAACCCGACCGTAACCGTGTCTCAACCCAAGTCCATAATCTTCGAATCTCCGGAGCCGGTGTTGAAGTCATCCGCGGAGGCGGTTGGCAACGCGTTGAAAGCTGCCAAGGCCGAGGTGGCAGGGGGCGTGAGGCCTGAGGCAGCCGGTAAATTCGCCGATCTGGTGAAGGTTCTCAGGGTGAGCGGGAAGAACGACATCATGTCCGTGTACCAAAAGGTTCGTTCCGGGGACAAAGAGGATCAGAAATTGTTCCTCGACGCTCTGTTCCGCGCTAGGACAGGAGAGGCGGCCGAGGTCGGGGTGGAATTGATCAAGAACAAGGAGCTGACCGACGTCCAGACGCTGCTCTTCTACGCTGGAAGCCTCGCTCTTATACGCCACGTGCACCTTCCGTCCGTGACGGTGGTCGCATCCCTGTTGGACCAGCCCGATCTACATCGGCTAGGTTATCTCGGTGTCGGCCAGGTGATCGGCAGATACTGCCAACAAAATTCGTGCGAGAACGTGGCCGAGATAAAGCAGGCTGTGCACAAGATACGCGAGAAAGTGGGGAACGGGAAGGCGAAGAGCAGGGAGCAGGAGAACTTGATCGTTTCCGCCCTCAAAGCTCTGGGCAACAGCCAGTTCCTCGACGACGCGACTCTGCAAAAATTGGCCAACATCGCCGCCGACAAGAACGTGAGAAATCGCGTTCGAGTAGCTGCAATCCAGGCCCTGCCCACCAGATGCTCGATGAAGTGGAAGAACATAATGTTCAAAGTGTTGGCCGATCGGGAGGAGGACAGCGAAATCAGGATCAACACGTATCTCTCGTTGGTCGCGTGCCCATGCCCGCACGCGGCCAATCAATTGAAAGAGGTGTTGGACAAGGAGACGGTGAATCAAGTAGGATCGTTCATCCAGACCCATCTGAGGAATCTCAGAGCGTCCACAGATCCGAGCAAGTTGAACGCCAAGAATCAATTTGGATTGATCAAACCTCGCGTCAAATTCCCGGAAGATTTCCGCAAATACTCCTTCAACAACGAACTGTCGTACAAGATCGACTCGTTGGGATTGGGCTCAACCCTGGACAGCAACGTCGTATACAGTCAGAACAGCTTCGTCCCGCGTTCCGCTAATCTGAACATGACCGTCGAGTTGTTCGGGAAAAATTTCAATTTCCTCGAATTGAACACGCGCGTGGAGAACTTGGACAGATTGTTGGAGCACTACTTGGGCCCTAAGGGCAAGATTTGGGAGAAGGATCTGGGAGAGGATTTGAAGAGCGGGGCGAAGGAGGTGAACAAGCTTCGTAAATACGCGAGGGAAAGATTCGAGAAAGTGGTGCGCGGTAAACGGGAGGTGAAGCAGGGAGATTTGGACAGATTCGCGAAGAACGTTCATTTGAGGAACAACGAGGTCGACCAGGATCTCGACATCGACTTGTCCGTCAAGCTGTTCGGCGTCGAGTACGCTTACCTGAGCTACCAAGGCGAGGGTAGCAAGTTGAGCCCCGAAGCCGTGATCGACAAACTGTTCGACAATCTGGAAAAAGGATTCGACGTTACCAAGAACTTGAAATCCGACCTCGAGAATTACCTTCAATTCCTTGACAACGAACTGATGTACCCGACCAATTTGGGGGCCGCTTTGAGTCTCGGCCTCACCGGGACCAGCGCGCTTCGCCTGAAAATCCAAGGGAAATTCGATTTGAAGTCGGCACTCAAGGATCCGAAGAACACCAACTTCCGCCTCGCCATTGAGCCGAGCGTTTCCATCAGGCTCGCAGGAAGCATGAGCGTACAGGCACCGGGTGCCGAGTTCGGAATGAAGGTAATCGGTACCCTTCACACCAGCACCAGCACGGACGTATCCGTGTCTCTATTGGACGGAACTGGTATCGACGTGAACATCGGTATCCCAAAGAAGAAGCAGGAAGTGCTCAGCGTGAGCAGCGAAGTGTTGCTCTCGACACCGAAGGGGGACGTGGCACCGAAATTCGGGAAGAGCAAGGAATACGCCGACTGTTTCGAACAATTGTCCTCGTATCTCGGGTTGACCGTTTGCGGCAAGATCTCGTATCCTTACGACGACTCGAGCGATCAGAGACCTTTGTTCCCCCTCAACGGGCCGGCCAAATTCGCCGTCAAGGTGGAGAACAACGACGTGAACAAGTATCACTTCAAAATCTTCGCCAATAACAATGCGGAGGCGAGCAAGCGTTCCTTCGAAGTTCTTTTGGACACGCCGAACAGTAAGACGAACAGGCGGATGGCCGTTCTTTTGGAATCCAGCATGCAACATCCAAATATGTACGTGAAGGGATCCCTGGACACGCCGTTCAAGAAAGCTTCCGCGGAAGCTGTGCTGAAAGACACCGCTCAAGAACGTACATTGACCGTCACTATTAACCACGATCAGATGGAGTATTACGGCCGTATTGGTGTATTGGCTAGCGGGAGCAAGTACAAACCCATCATGGAGTACAGAGTGCCCGAGCACATTGAAAAATTGGCCAGTTCGAAAGCTGGACTTCCCCCGGGGCAACAGTACTATCTGGACGGTAGCGTGGACGTTATCGACAATCAAGATGGAAAGAAGTTCACCCTCGAAAAAGTGGCGGTTGTGCTGAATGGTCAAAAGTTGGTCGTGATCGACGGCCCCATAATGTGGACCGGCAACAGCGTTAACGTGGACACGAATATCGGTTACGGGGACAAAAATCTTGCCTTCAAACTGGATGGTCAATCCTCGAAAGGTGATCACAGGCTGACAGTATCCGCCATGCCGTCCAGCGATCCCAACATCGGTTTCAACCTGAACTGGCAATTGAAGAAGGCCGACAACAACTTGGAGAACAAATTCTTTTTCGTCCACGGGCCTGATCTAAACTCTCAGACGAATCGTCTCTCCCTGACGCAGAAAGCGGTTTACAAGCTGAACAACAAGGAACTGTTCCTATCCGTATCCAACGAGCTCACCTATCCTGTCGTAAATTTGAAATTAAAATACGAGGGAGAATTGACCCAAAAATCGGTCAGCAGCGATCTCGAATTGAACTACAAGAAGTTCAACTTCAACACGGAACTGTCTGCCAAGGTGGGGACGGAGAAGCCCGGCGATTACGAGGTCGAGTTCGAGGCTGAATTAATGGAGAACGGGATCGAGTTGAAGGCCAAGCGGAAGGTTTTGGACGGGCAGAAGAGTCAATTCTCCAATTCCCTCGAGTTGAGGCCGGGCGGTAAGTATACCGCCGACGCGCTTGTGCATTACAGTATAAGCAAGAGCAATGTTAACTTGGAGCTGGACGGGGACGCGAATCTAAATGGGGCAAAGGTGAAAATTAACACGGCCCTGGAATCGAATCCTCAATCTCTCAACGCTCTCCTTAACGCCAAAGTGAACGACGTGAGCTACATCGAATTCGATCTGAAGAACAAACGTTCCCCTAACCCGAGCGGCGCTTTGATCCTCAACTTGAAGAATTATCTGGCGGCCAACGGCCAATACTCTTACCAAAACGGTAAGGGGAACGCGAAACTGGACATCGACGTCCCGAAGATCGATCGAAAGATCCAAGCTACCGGCGCTGTGACGGTCAGCGGATCCAAACACGTGGGCGAGCTCGTGCTTCTCTACGACGCTAGCAAAGATCCCAATAAACGGGTGAAACTGTCCACCACGTCCGACATCACCAAAACGTCCGTGGATACGAAGAATATATTGGAGATCGTGGACAAGAAATTGGAATTGAACGGGAAGGGTAGTATGCAAGGCACGTTGAACAATGGCCAGCTCGAGGTAGAGGTGGACGTCACTCTGCCGAACGGACGTCACCTCGTGTACAAAGGGAAACGTAATTCCGTGAAGAAGGATACCAAGTACGATATACAGGTGGCCAGTAAATTGACGGACTACGAGCAGAAGGGAGGGCCGTCCAGATCGTTGTCGTACAATGGGAACGTGCAGGATCTTGACGTGAACACGATCACGTTCCAGGGTAACGGTCAGTTGAAGTTCGTGAACACGAACGGCAACGATGTGCAGATCGCGGTTACTGGAAAGAACTTGAATCTGCCCGAAAACAAGAAGCAGAGGGAGATGAACATCGAGTTGGGAGGATCTAGCATTCCTAAGAAACTGCAATTCCAATATCGCTGCAACCAAGGCGACAACGAGGGATCGCACAACGTCAAATCATCTTTCGGAGATGATGCCTCGTTGACGGTGAGAAATTATTGGCCTTTTTCTTTTTTTATATTTCTGTTATATTAGATTGCGACTCGATCAATTTAAATTCTTATCGATCATCCATGTGATTCGATGTAACGTTAATTGAGGATTGATGAATATTTTTAAAAAGATATCTAGAAAAAAATAAGGATGGAACTTCTAATTTATTGATAATGTATAAAATGAACGTAAGATTGAGTAAAAATTTGAAAAAAAAAAAACAAAAAATTCTCTCCTCTATATATTATGAGATAGGTAAAATTCAGAATCGTGCCAATCATTATTTTATCACTCGTTGTAAAATTTATAGTAGAGTCACGTGGATTTATTCATAGAGTTAATCTGTCGATCTTCTTAAATTTTTATCCTTCTATTTTACAGAGCAATGTGAACGTGAAAAAAGGAAACAATGTCGACAAACCTTACAAAATAGACGGTGTTTGGGACATGAAATTGCCGAGCGAGAATTTGAAGAATTTGAAACTCGAACTCGTTTCGAGTTTGTTGGACTCCGACGAGAAGGATCTCTTTAAATCTTCGGGAACGGTAAAGCTGACGTACAATACCGATCGAAAGATCGAACTGAGCAAGGAGTTGGAATTGACAGGAATGAATAAAAATTTGGAAGTTCCTAGCGAGGGTAAAGGGAAGCTCAATCTGAATATTCTTGATTTCTCGCCTGTCCAATTGTCGGGCAGTTACAAGTACGATCCCACCCCTGAGAAAAAATCGGCTACGCTCGTTCTGGATGGGCAATATGGTAGCAAAACACTCTCGCTCAGATCTGACAACGAATACCTTCCCTCTGTAGCTACCGTCAATCTCAAGGCTAAAGGCAATTTGAAATTCGAGAAATTGGACAACGTTGATTTGCAACTTGTTTACAAGGTATTTTTTTTTTCTTTTTATTCGATTGTCATGTAAAAATATCAATAAATATCAATAATTCGTCATAAAGATTCATATGAAATTTTTGTCACAATATTAGAAATGTTCTTTTCGATATTAAGTTTTTTAAGTAACCATAGAATAGATTAATTAAAGTAATATTTCTCTCAAAAATCAATGAGAATATTGACATCCTTTTCTTTTTTTTATAATTAAATAATATAGAAGAAGATTAGTTTTCTTGAAACAAATTTTTTGGGGGGGTCTCTTAAGAAAAATTTTGGTCTTTCTCTCACCATTTATGAAAAGATTGAGAGCTAAAATTCGGATAAAATCCGAATAGAATCTCTCTGAATTGATTTCTTATTTCGTTTTATTCTACAGAGATTTAAAGACGAGAACAAGTTGACAATCGACAGCAAAATCGATGTCGACGGTACCAAACACTCCCTGGCTAGTGAAATCCAATACTTGGAATCCAACAATCTGTTCCATGTGACGACTATATGCCCAACAGGGAACACTGAAATCCTTTCCAAATTCCAAAAACTCAACGACAAAGAATACAAAGGTAATTCATACATCAAAAAACATAATGTAACATAAGATTGATTTAAATATTATCCAATTTCTTTATATCGTTATACTCTTATATTGCAGGTGAATGGAAAGTGGACACACCTAAAGGATTTGCAAAGGCTGACGCTCACGTGAATCTCGAAAGTGTCGATAATTTCGTGATCAAAGCGAACTTTGACAGCGATAAGGTCAAACACCGTAATATCCATGCTGAAATAGCCAACCAACCAACAGCTAAGAATGGAAAGAGCATCTCCATCACTGTCACCAGCGATGGCAAGAATATTGTAACTGGAAGGTATTATCTTATATTAAAAACGCATGCAGTGAAGTAATCGAAAATTATTAAAAATAAATATATATATAAATCTGAATAGAAACTTTACAAAAACTCGCTACGAAGTAAGAAACATGATCGAATTATTTTAATATTAATTATTTTTATAAAATCATATAATAGAAAATATAAAAAAAAAAAATCTTTAGAATTATCATTTTTTACAATTATTTAGAATCATTCTACAATAATATTACGTTAAAATTATACGTATATCCAGCACAAGCTACAAGCATCGCGATGAGGATGGAAAGATCGTGATGGAAGGTAATGGAAATCTGAAAGTTGGCGACGATACAAAAAGCTCATCCTTCAAATACACCCGTCAACGATTAACTCAAGAAAAAGACGGTGAGGCGGGTGTTGCGATAGTTTTGAACGCCAACCTCGGCCCATCCGCCATAGTGGGTGAACTAAAACTCTCTAACAAGGAGTTACATCTCTTCAACAGCTACTGCGAGCAGAACAAGGATTGCGCTCAGTTCAAGCTTCAATCGATCCTCAACGTCGAAAGTGAGTACTTTCAATTTTTAACAATTGATGCAATTTTATAATGTAATTTTCAATGGGGGCCTCGTTTTCCTTTCAGAGAAAACTCTATTGAAACATCAGGTGACGGTGGAAGTCGATCTGAAAAAGTTCAACGTACCCGTCGAATTTGGTCTGAAGACGAATACAGAGTTCAGAAACCCGATATTCGATCACACGACCAACCTCTACCTACATTCCTCAAAAGACAAGACTGAATACACTTATCAAGCTTATATTCATCCCAAAGAAGCAGGTGAGAATGGAAAATAATTCTTGAAATAATTCATACGATCATCGAAGTGAAACGAGAAATTTCTTCCCTCCATTTTTATGCCAATATGATGCTCGATTATAGGGGATACTAGGATACTAGAATCAACGTATTACATTTGATTACAGCTACCATCTTGACTTTGCCCTCACGCCAAGTGGCTCTCATTCTGATCTACGATCTGCTCAAGACCAAACAAACCACGGCCTACAAATTGGACATGTCCCTTTATCTGGACAAGAAGAACAAACCATCCGAAAAGACCAGTCTGTCTGCCATTGGAGACATAAACGTCGATAAGAACAGCTTATCCCTTAGTGGAGAAACGAAATTCATGTATCCAACTCAGCACAAGGTACAATCGAATAAATTGATTATATTACAAAATGAAAAATGTTGAATTGGTTTGTTTTTTCGAAATAGAAAGTGTAATGATCTGTTTATGTCATCGTGCGTGAAATAAAACGTTGAAAAAACATTTTTTTTTTTCAGGACATATTGATGAAAGGATATCTTCACTACGGAGGTGACAAGCTGTTGGATGCCAATTTGGACATCGACGTGTTCGCCAAAAGATCTCAGAAAATCTCTATCGTGGCAAACGTGCAGCGGCAACAAATCCCTGACGGGCAGAACGTGACCAGTTTGGTGGAAGTAAACAGCCGTGGTCAACAATTGAAACTCGACTTGAAATCTCATTTGGCAATATCGAAAAAGCAAATAGGATTCGGAAGTTTCTTCACCTACAACAACGTTAAACAGAAACCAAAGACGCTGGGCGCCCTCTACTCTGCAGATTTGAATCACGTCTCCTTATTGATCACTTTACCCGACAAACAACTGATCAAGGATGACTGGAAGTTCGATATCACAAAAGACACTCAAAAAGTAAATAGGGAATTGTCTCTTTTGGACAGCACACCTCAGATTTTGAATTTCGAAGCGAATGACTTCAATCGATTCAAACTTGAAACTTATCTTAAAAGTGAGTCCATATTATTATTCTTATACCGTGTTATAACATTCCTCCATTTCAATTGAAATTAATTTATAACGTTATCCACAATTATCCGTCGTCAATAAATAAATAACGAAATAATCAACTCTATGTTCTATAATTCCATCGTGTCATTTTCACTTAATTTTTTTTAATATATCATTCAAATGCTTCATTGATTTCAGACAATCCTAAAAACAAAGCGGTGCTCAATGGTCAAGTGGTCCTTGGTCAATTGGCGGAGATCCACGCGGATTGGTTCAAAGATGGGGCGAAGAAGAATCTTTTCCACGCTTTGGTCAATTTGGACGAGAAACAATTCCTAAAACCCGACTTTGATTATAATAGGGACAATATAGCTGAATTTGGAGTAAGCAAACTGGACTGATCGTTAACGAGTAACAAGATTATGCGATAGAAGTTACCACACGTATGATTTAAATTTTTCCAGAAAGTTATCAAGAACAGAAATCTCGACTTTATTAAGGGAGTGAAAGACGTTTACGGATACGTATTGGACGAAGCGTCAGCGGAAGGTACAGATTTTATGGAACATCTGGTAAAGGCAAAACCGAGCTTCCAATCGCTTATAGAATATTACGAAAAAGAGTTGAACAAGTTGAAGGAAGAGATGAATGCTGATGAAACTATCCAAGAAATTCAGGCTACCTTGTAAGTATTGTTTCGAAATTTTTATTTGTAATTATGAGGAATTATATAATAATGCGTTTCACGAGATATATCTCGTAAAATGAACTATCTAATTATCTTATACGCTTGTGATAATTTTGTTACGATGTTGGTTGTAAAAATATTTTTTGACTGATCTGAAATATTATTATAAGATAAATTAAGGGTATAATCTAGATGATTAGATGGAATATTTTATACGAGATATCCCGACATAGTCAGCAATCATTGTTCGACTAAAAATAAGAAAAAGGAAGTCATATAAGCATAAGTATTTTATAAATATTTTATAAAAAAAGAAAAAAGAAAAATTAAAAAGAAAAATACGAAATAATAATAAATTGAAATTATATGACATTTTTTTCTTATTTTTACTCATAGAGTATGTGGGCATCAAATGGCGGATAAAATCCAGGATATCCTGTATGTATATACAGTACTACATTTTATCATATATATTATTAACACATTCCAGATTTTTATTGCATAAAACATTACGATATTATGTACTATATAAAAAATATATAACAAATATATAACGAAATTCAAAAATAATTTTTAAATAATAACAAATAAAAATCGTGGGAGAAAAAAAGTTATAATCGATTCTCAGACTATCAATTTATTATTATTTATATTCAATTTTAAAATCTGATACTATACCAGATAAAAGAAAATTACTTTAAAAAAGTAATAATTCATTTTTCAATGATCCATCCATCACAGTCAACTACTCGAGGATCAACAATAGAATTCGAGTTTAGAAAAATTGTCCCATCTACAAGTTTTTCTCTCACGAGATTGAAACGAAATTTAAAAAAAAAAAAAAATGATATATTCTTTTTCAAGGCGCAAGTATTTCGGCACCCTCTTCGAAATCCTCACGGAATTGAAACAAATCGCCCATGGTTTGGAGAAGTTGAAGGAAACGCTGAACAGCCTAATAAACAACGTGAAGCAAGCCGTCAACTTGATGTACCCTAAATTAAAGGAATCGTACGATAAAATATTCCACCAAGCGTTGGAAATCCTCGATGCCATGATGAAACTCGCCAACACGTATCTTCAAGCGGTTCTCAATTTGATAAACGACCACCAAAAGGAAATAAAGGACGTGTTGAACTTTCTTTCCGGAATGAGCCAAGACATCGCCAAGATCGTATTCAAGGGATTGGAACAGATCAAGCACAACCTCCACGAGTTCTGCTCTCTGCTTATTAACCAATTGAAAGCTTTGCCGATTTACGAAACCATAAAGGAGAGGTTGGAAGAGCTGAAGAACTTCCAAATACCGGAAAATATTTTAAACTCGCTCGAAGAATTGTGCAAACTTGGAAAGAATATACTGCCCACCGAAGAATTAAGACAATTTGTCGATATCACTTACCAATATGTTATCAAACACTTAAAACGAGAGAAGGTACGTTCTACGAAGATTTTTAGATTTTTAATTGCAATAATGCTTTTGGGGATAAGCTTGGCGACAAGTCTTTATGCTTTTAAATTTGCATAATAAAATTTTTTTTTTATGAATAACACTTTTTATGAATAACACTTTTCAAGAGAAGATTTCCTTTTTTACAATTTTGATACTATTTTACAACTGGTTTTCTTTTTTTTTTTATAACATTCTCCTTTATATTATCATCTCGTCACTCGCATTATTCGCATTACAGAACCAGAAATGTAAAAGGTCTTGGAAAATTTTTCATCGATGGCGTGTATTCGTCTAAAAGATTACCATTTAACTAAATAAGTTGAGAAGTAGGCCAAAAACTTTCGCACGCTATGCTATGTATCAAAATGAAAGATCTCCCGAAATAAAATGGAATAAATCTAGAAACGTTTCTTTTTTTTTTTTTTTTCGATCGACAGATCGACGATATGAGCGAGTTGAAGAAGATCTACTCGAGTTTGGTGGCCGCGGTTCAATCAATCGTGGCTCTGGCGCAGAAACAATCATCGTTCGAGAACGTTTGGGGATTAATTTCGATTCAGACCCCGGATCTCGGCCTTTTGTCCAAGTTGCCGACCGTCTCAGCCTTAAAGCTCTCCGTTTGGAACCTCTTGCGTAACAGAGAGTTACCAACGCTTGGGGATCTGTATTACACTTACAGGTAAACATTTCTGAGAAATATGTGTGCACGGATCGGCATGTTCAATTGTTACGCGTTACAAAACCGGTTAAATTAGAATGACAGATGCAAACTAATACATTGCACCTCCATTTTAACTTTACACGATTTTCAAAGAAGCTATTTATAGCATTTCCTGCTGTTACGACACATTATGACGGATGTATTACGGAATTGCTTTTGTCTTATGATCGCTCGTAATTATATAATTATTAGGTTGTTTGAAAACTTCGATTTGCATTTTGCACAATTTTTTTTTATTTTAGATTTTAGATAACGTAGATCCGAATTATAAATATAAATTTTTGAAATCGAAATCGAAATATATAGAAATTTTCCTATAAAGCGATATTTTTCGAGAATATTTTTTATTCACGGATTTATAGGTGTAATTTAATGTATTTGAATGATTGAAAATCGATATTACGTTAAATTATCCTTTAAGAAATATTTAAGTTTAAAAAATTTTCGTTTCAGACCGACGCCATTGTTCAGAAAGTCGGGTGTCGTTACTGACGGAGGACATTTCTTCACGTTCGATGGACGTCACCTAACTATGGCTGGATCCTGCACCTATATCCTTGCACAAGATATGCAGGATGGCAATTTCTCTGTCGTGGCTAACTTTAATAATGGTATCCTTATCAGTGTCACGCTCACCGAGCCTAAGGAAAGCATCGCGATCAAGAACAACGGAAATGTAAGTGATAACATTCATGTAACACATTCATGTACAATTTTTTGCAAATCACGATTGCAAAACGAGAAAAGATCTAAAAATATTCATTATAAGAACAGATTATTAGAACAGATAATAATTAACATCTAATTGCAAAGAAGAAGATTGCGAATGCAATTTGAAAATAAAATTCTGGAAAAGATCATTCTCCATCTTTTCTCGAGAATAATTTACAAAAATGTTATTTCTATGGAATAATTCGAAACGAGAAAATACTAAAATTAAATAAAGATTAAACCCTCGAAAATTGCTTCCCAACCTAATGTTCAACTCAACGAGAAATTTATTTGTCAAATTTATTCTCACAGTTCTATCCTTAACAATATATTCTCAAGAAATAATTTCTTACGATGTTAAATACATACATCAAAGGATTGAATAATGCCTAGACATAATCGCTCGTTTTCAGATTCTAGTGAACAACAAACCGGCCGATTACCCGGCGCACACGAAGAATTTGCACGCTTATCTGTTCCCACCATACGGCAATATCAAATCCGATTACGGTGTTCGCGTTACATGCACGAACAAGGCACCTATGATTTGTGCTGTCCACGTTTCCGGCTTCTACCATGGCAAACTGCGTGGAATCCTGGGCGACGCGAATAACGAGCCGTATGACGACTATACTTTGCCCTCTGGAAAGGTATGCATTTGTCGTGTCGCCAAGTTTTTTAATGCCTTCCTCGCACACGAAACTTGGCAATTCGTGGAAGTCAAAGCGCTCGTGGATAACAAGGTATTCACGTGCCGAACCGAGTATCGTTCGATCTTTAAAGGGTAACGGTCCTTCAACGGTTCCGAGGGTAGATTTAGAGACCGAATGCAGACCGATTGCAGAAACTTCCCGATGAAAATATACTTTTTTCTTTTTTTTTTTTTTTTTACTTTGGAATAAAATATTTTACTGTGCTAATCTAAACGACGAAATTTTATTTTAGTTTCTGAAAATGATTTTTAATTCAAATTAAAAATCTTATCTTTTATTATTTAATTTCTTAGATTAGAGTTATTGTATATTATTTTTTGTGAGAATAATTAGTAAAGAATTATGAAATTCATTCATTATGAAAATTCATCTAATTGAAGAAACGAACCGAACAATTTTTTTCTTATATTCCTTAGATCACCGAAAGTGGAACAGAATTTGGAAACGCGTACAAATTGAAGAGTGAATGTTCAGACGCGACAGCGGTCGAGCAGCACAATGAACGTACCCCAGTTTGTACCGATTACTTCACTGGCGAAAATTCACCATTGAAGTACGTAAAATTATTATTTTGTTTCGTTACGTTGATTACATTATTCCTGTTTTCTCAAAGGTTCTGAAGAAACAATTTCATTGGAATAACATAACGATGATGAAATAATTACAGATCTTGCTTCAATATCGTCAAACCGTCTCTATATCGCGATGCCTGCGATCATGCAATTGCCGCTGGCACACCGGCTGGAGCTTGCATAATAGCCATGGCTTATCATTATGCTTGCTATGCGCAAGGAGTCATGTCTACCTATATACCATCGTCTTGCAGTACGTTCCTCGTGTTTAATTCTATAATTTTTATTGAATAGAATTCAATGCTATTCTACTTTTGATCCCATTTATTTTCTACTAAATAAAATTCTGAATTTTGAATAATAAAGCAAATATGGCGAATTCTATAAATTATATTCTTATAGAATAGAATTCAATTTTGGTCCCATTTATTTTCTATTAAATAAAATTCTAAATTTTGAATAATAAAGAAAATATAGGAAATAAGAAAGAAATAAGAGAGAAGAGAATTCAATTTTTCTTTTAAAATCCTTTATTGGAAAGATGATAAATTTTAAATAAATTTTAGTTTTGATATCGGATGAACGATATAATGATAGAATAAGATTTAATTAACTGCATCGAAAGTTTTATTTCTTTTAAATGTAAAATATTTTTAGCTTTTAGATAATAAAGTGAACACTATGAAGATCGAAGAAAAAAATCAATTATTTTCCACTTTCAGCAAATTGCAAAGTGGGCGGAAACAAAATCGACATGGGCGACTCGTTCAGCGTAAAGGTACCGAAGAAAGAGGCTGATGTTATTTTTGTAATCGAACAACAGATACCGAACGATAAAGTGTACAAGGAAATGATTACGCCTTTAATGTCTGAACTTAGGGAGGAATTGAAACAACAAGGAGTAACGTAAGTCCCTTCTATTATATTTATGTACATTATATTCTTCCATTCTTTCTTCCAATGAAAATCCCAAGAAATTCTAATCAACTGTAATTATTTTCCTCTCAATAAAACTTTTATTCTTCTTTAAAATAAATATGTAGCTGTAATCAACGAAGAAGAATCAACGAAATTAGATATTTAGAAATTTTTAATCACATCATAAATACAGTGGAAATATCTTTCAAAAATTTTCGAATACGGACTCGTATCGATTCCGTATTTACAATTTTTTAAAAAAATTGATTTCACAGAGACGTGCACATTGGATTAATCGGGTACAGCGAGATGATGAAATGGCCACAACATTTTACATTAAATGGCGACACCAACATCGATGGTGAAGTAAAAAATATGAAGTTTGAGGAAGGAAAACCAATAATTTCTTATCAGGTAATTCTATAGAAAAAAATTATATGGTATTTTTCAAAAAACTTCTCTCGAAATTAAATTTATAGAAAACCCATGATGCATTTACATTATTTCGTGACAAACTATTTTTTAAAAAAAATTCATCGGTGTATTAATTTTTTCCACGACGCAAAGAATAACACGAGATTGCTTGCGAAGCTCATAATGAAATTTAATTCACAAGAAATTAAAAATTCACAAGAAATAATGTTTCTATGTCATCAAGTAGATGAATGAAATATTATCGTTAATAATGTTAGAAAAATCTTGAATGAAATTCGAATCATTCTTTCATTCGTATAAATATATATTCCGTAAAGCAATGATAAATCCGAACTGACGTATAATGAAATACATTAACGATCTGTCTGGAATTCCATTGTACTTCCGATACTCGACGTGAGATGAAATGTTTTTGCGCGCCATCATTCACCGACATCATTAATATTCTCGTTTAGTTAAGAAAACAAGTCGTTTCGCACGAGATTTCTATACATAATTTAATTAAATTTCCATACATAGAAATTAAATCTTTCATCATATTTTTCCTCGTTACATGAAACGTGTAACAGATTTTTTTTCTTTTTTTTCTAATTTTATTCAAAACGTCTCATTATTTACCGAAGAATTTATTATTAGCATATTATCAGTCGATCAATATTATGATTTGAATTTGAAATTATGAAGTTAAAGTTTATCGAATGCTGATCTTTTAATCTATTTTTATGATATATATTGCAACAATGTGATGATGAATCAGCCAATAAATCTATTCTGGTTTTTATTTATTCGATAATTACACTCGTTAGCATAATTTATAAACATTTCGCGGAAATCGTTGTTATATTTTGCGCGTTAAAAAAAATTAATGATTTCTAGGAAGCGAAAGATGGCAACACGGAAAAAAAAATTGATTATCTACACCAGAGAATGGATGTCGAATTAGGTACTTTCAAATTGACCGATGCTTACGAGGCAGCTATTCGATATCCATTCAGACCTGGTGCGGCGAGAGCTGTGGTTGGAGTGATCGCGAACCCCTGCGAGAAGAGTCCATTCCCTATTTCGGTAAGTTTTTATTTTTCTTCCTTCCTTTAAATATTTTCCTTTAAATATTTTCCTTCTATAATATCCTCGTTTCAAAGAATCGATTATTCCTAAAAATCTTTCAAGGATTGAATTGTGGAGGTAACTATTACACGATGGCAATTTATAGGGAAGACAGAGTTCGGCATTCCACAGTCAGATATACACAGTCAGTAATTAATCAGTAATTATCAGTAATTTTGTGGATAGCAATCAGTCAGAATTAACCAGAATTAGGAGTAATTAAGCAATTATCTCTATAATTTGTCCAAAATCAATTCATTACTATAATCTACTGACTGATTGGCCTATGTATTTCGAGAATGCATTAATCAATGTTAGATATATATATTCTTGGAAATAATTGGAATAATTGATTTTCTTATTGAAATTCAGATCTGAATGACGATTTTGATTTGATCAATCATTTTTAGATAGACTCTTATTTAGATTTTTAGGAATTAGAAACAGAAATATTTTCTTTTAGATAAAATTACTTGACATGTAGAATATTCTTTTAAAAACGACAAGGAAAAAATTTTCTATAATTTTGAATAATATATTAATAAATTTTATACTATGAATCTCTTAATTTGAAAATGTCAATAGACAATGACACATATATTTATATTTCTCTATTTTTCATATTTTGTATATGTTTAAATGCAATTATAATTAACATTTTAAATTATCCATTTCTAATTCCTAGTTGCAGCAACTTAGACTTATACTCGGTCTTAAAATATATCGTGATTTGGGACTCACCTATTACCACGTGTCGTATCCGAAAGAGCTTCTCGTCTCGGGCAAGCCTCAGAAAAATATCGTCGCTTACGACCAAGACAACGTGTACACGTTCGCTGACAGTAAGAAGAAGCCACTCACCGGAAGCACCGACATGAAGAGCAATCTCGTACCGGCGATCAAGGACGTCTGCGCTGACTTCGCGGTTTTCGTAAGTGTTCAACAAGTGATCCTCATCTATTATTAGGGATTTTTTTTTTTTTTGAGCCCGTCAAAAGTTAGAAACAAAGTTAAAGGGAAGAGTTGAGTGAATCGAGCGTTATTTACCTGAGATCATATTGCAGTCTGGCGGTGCCGCGTTCAGCTCTAACAATTTCTTGGACGCCAAGTCGAATCAGAAGAAGCAATTCGTTCAAGTGGCAGCAAAGAGGATCGCAGATAGCCTCGTCAACGTAGAATTTGAGAAAGATTGCTCGTGCTTGTACGAATACGGTATGATAGGACGCTCTAAGTGTAAGATCGTAGGTCGAAAGGAAGCTCCGGTAAGTAGTCCAATTTCCGTTACTTAGCTCCTTTACTTGAAACTTTCTATAAAGCATGAAAAACATTGTGAATTTTTTTTTTTTTTTTATATCATTTTCAAATAATTCAAGGAATTCTCGTTTTCAAATTCCATTACCAATATCTTCATTAACCCTTACGTCAATGTCAAAAAATTTTCGATATCATTTAAATTTATAATTTTTCTGTTATCTTGAAAAATTGTTGAAAATTATATTAAGTTTAATCTTAAATACGTATTTGAAAGTACACGAATATCTAGATATTGACACGAAGATTAAATAATTTAAATAATAAATAATAATAATAATAATAATAATGATAATAAATTATAATTCTTGTAATAAATATTGAATTAAATAACTTTTATTTTTCAGTGACAAAGTTGAATTTTCAGATATATAATAATGTCAATCGTGTATATATCTATTTCAGAGATCCGCGAAAGGAGGAGCGAAGGGTTAAAGCGAGATCGTCGCGCATCTCATAATTACTAATTAATTTAGGTGTATTGTGTTTGTTACTTTGTTATACTACGGCAGACGTATTTTCGATATTTGTAAGCAAATTAAGATCATCAGACCTCCCAGCGACAGGGAGGGCCACAATTGAATAATCACAATCGAGGACTGAAAAACTTCATTTTCGTTCCGTTAAAATTTGTTTCGATAATTTTTTTTTTTTTTTGTAAATAATCTTTTATATTTTTTTCGCAACAACGTTGATACGAAAAATACGAATTATTCCACAATGTGGCCCAACTGTATATCGATCACGACTTAGAATAAGTTCTTACCCTGAGTAAACACAGGTATTAATAATGTTAAATGTGTGCGACAAATAAAATAAAATGAATATATTATAATTTGTACGAATGTTAAAAACGCGATGTATCCGCGTCCACGTAATACGGGACATCGATTCGATTTACGGTACGATTTGTACGGCTTACTTTTATTAAATTAAGATACCGATGCTGTACGAGACTCGGGGGGTTAATCTGAATTCAATACCGACCACCGTACCGTTTATCATCGATACGAAACGATTTTACGCGTTAGATGATATCGTGGCTTGTGAAGAAATATACATACATTGTTCTTAAATTTACCACGACTTTGATTTTATTTGTTATTCATCCTATCCTTAATTCATGAATCAACGTGAAAAGAAAATTCTACAGGGGTAATAATGATGACTGAAAATTAAAAGAAAAGATGAAATGATATCTATTATTTCATCAAAATTTTCATTCAACACGAAACATTTTTTTATATATGTATATATTCTCGAATTTGGAAGCCAGTAAAACAATTGTGAAAAAATTTTAATTGAGTATATAATATGTTTCTTCTAAAATAATTCTATTCTCGATATTTTTTTTTTAATTTTTAATTTTCATAGTCATTCAGATCTATACTTAATTAAAATCGTCACAATTTTTTAGAAAAAAAAATATATATATATTTTAATTTATGGAGATCAAAGTATTTTTGCTAACTGAAATATAATTAAAACAGAGTTTTAAAGAAAGAAATTTATTAAAAATTGAATAATTAAAAGCAATGATTCCAAATTGGAATCATATCCATTAATGAATATTCATAAATTTAAAATCAAAAAAAAAAAAAAAATCATGACATAATCATGATATCATTTCAGTGAAATTCGAATTAAACGTCGACTCGTTTGTCTTTGATTTTATCTGTTGAACACAACAAAGTTTCAAGTACAATTATCTTCACGCTTGCAATATATATTTTAAATTGTTTCGATAATTTACAGTAATTTTCCTCTTTGAAAAAACATTTCGCTTCTATTTTTATCTATTCATTCTCCTTCTTTCTTATTTTTCTCCCTCAAACTTATCTTTTTCTCATTTCTTTCCCTTGACAAACTTTTAAAACATAATAACCAAATATCAATTATGATTTTTTTTTAGGCACATTTACGTGATAGAAAAGTTTTTTTAAGCATCTCCCCTTAGCTGTGACGTTAATTGTATATCGGTCACGTTAATGCATGCACACTATTATTTTCTCACATAATGTATCTATGTTTGAAATCAAAATTTCTTGACTGGCTTAATGAGAAAAATACAAATCAGATAACGACTATCAAATGTTATACTTATTTTTAAAAATGTTTGCCTTAAATTATCTGTTATTCTTTTATGATTAACGATTATAATATTTTGAAAATTTACAAGAAAACTCGCGATAAGAGCTACTTATTTACACAGTAGACAGGTACAAAGACTCTTATCTTAATTATTATTAATTATAAAATCTCTGATTCCATATTTTACGCTTTTTATCTATCTGTTTATTTTTAATTAAAATAATATAAATACGTTATCATATATCAATAAAATGATTTAGATTGATCTATTTAAATCCTTTGATTTCAAAATAAAACTAAATTGTTTAAATTGTTGATAAAAGAAATTCACTAGAGCAATATATATATATATATATATATATTGTACGATATACGCTATGTGATAAATCTTATCATTAAACATACACCAGCTAAGCTCGAATTAAAATTGAGAATTAGAGCGTAACTTTATTCGACAATTCAATTCGAGAAACCTTATGCTTCGTTGTGTAGCAAATCGAATTATTTGAAAATCTTCGTTGCATTTTTCCTCAACTGTTTTTTTCTGTTATATATATATAGAGCAAAAAATTTCAATATATTTCCATAAATTCAAATATATCTATTTTAAATTTAAAATATTTTTTTCTATAGAAATTTGTCTCTTTATTATTTATTATTATACTATATTATTTCTTTACAATTGTTCATAAACGATATTCTTTTCCAAAATTATTAATAATTTAAAAAAGTTATTCATATTTCTATCTTTTTTTTTTCTAATTATTAAGTTATTAATTTTTTGATCGATTATTTCTTATAATGATTTGATTTCATTTATTTTTTTATTTTTATAATTTTTTTAAAGAAAAATTATAAAAATAACTTCTCTATTTTAATTCATCTGGTATTGATAAAGAAAAATTGAAAAAGAAAAGGATTAACTAATATTATTGTTGAAAAAAGAATCGGCTTGCTACATAAAGACTTCTAAATGAAGCTCGAGATTCAAGTCACTTGACGACATACAAGTTGTATCTATAATCTACAGCAGACAGATCTACTTCGCTGACCTACTTGTCTGATGCGAGACTACTTAACCCTTTGACGACCACTTCTTCAACTCGCGCGGTCCATCTGGTTTGCACAGATCGTTGACATTATGGATCCATACAGCTATTTCTATGTTCGTATGGTTATACGTTGTAAGTTTGCATTGCATAATCAAATTTATTTATAAAATTTATATATATTTAATAGATTTTCACATTTGTTTTCATAAAATTTTTTAAAATCTTGTTACACTTTTGACATATTCGTTTTTTTCTTTGATATATCTATTTTTAATTTATTTATCTTTGATCTGAATACATTTTTGAATTATTCGCCGATTTGACCTTTTCAATTTATATATATATAATTCTATCTACGACTTGTGAAAGATGAAATTTCAATTATCCTTTTGAAACAGAATTTTGTTCTATAAACAGTTATTGCAAAGCCGAGATTAAATTCTTCCAGGAAACAATGGATTTTTACAATCAAACTATTCTTTATATTTTTTTCCTTGCATATTTATTCTCTATCCGACTTATTCAGTGAACGAATCGCAATCTTCTTCGAGCAAAGAATTAAATCTTTCGATGTTTTCATTTACCATTTAATCTAGCCATTTCAATGGAATGTAATATCAAAAATGATTTGATCAAAAAATCGATAGATTGAAACTGATAATTAATTTGCGTTAATTTAAAAAAATTGAGGAACATTTGAAAATGAAATTGAAATTACTTTCAATTCAAAGAAAGCTAAATTGTAGCATATTTATAAATATCTATTGTAAAGTATAAAAATTCATTATAACAATAATAATAGATATTGAAAATCTTTGCTTATATAATATATATAATAAATATTTATAATAAATATTTTAAATCAATACATTATTGATATAAATATACATTTCCGCATAAAATAATAAAACATTCTATTTTTAATCTTTTTTAAATCAATTTTCTAAAACTAATGCAATTTATGTAAATCTTATATACATATGCATATATATGCATATGTATATAAAATATCTGTTGTTTAATAATGTAAAGAAAAATCAATTATAATTAACATTTTTTTTTACAAATTTGATTCATTTATATGGAAAATAATTATATGGCGTAAAAAAATGATAGTATATTTGTTAAAGTATTTGTAAAATGGTTTTTCATATGTGATGAATTTAAATCCAACTATAAAAATTGCCTATCATATTAAATTTAGTATATGTTCTTATTAACTTTTTTTATATCATTAATTGAAAAATTAATTTTTTCTTAAAAAGAAGTAAAAATAATTCTATAATCTACATTGAAAGTTTTTTTCTAGCTTTTTAATTTCCTTAATAATATTCCTTTTAACTTTTTAAATATTCCTTAAATAATAATAATAGAAAAAAGATTATATAATAAATATTAATTTAAAATGCATTATATTTATCCCATATATTAAAAGTCTCATAGATATATATCCTTTTCCCAAAAAATTTTTTAATTCTTTTACAGCACTGAGTTTTTCAATTGTAAATAAAATTGACATGGATACAATAATTAAAAAACGCTATAAATTTTGAAAATGGATTTATAATTTATAAATTAAAATATATCATATACAAAGCTTCAAGTCTTCGCTACGGAATGGAAATAGATAAAAGACAAAATAACAACGATTTAAACAAAATCTAACGATGGAAACAACTACCTATGAAACTACTGCTTTATTCAACTACTTTCATACATAATAAGGACGTTGACAATGACAAGAGAGCCAAATCTCATTGATATTGCTGAAATAAAAATGAACTTTTAGACTTAACTTCTATTTAAATAAATTCATATCAATCTTATGTAACAATAGTTTTAATGAGAAAGGAATAATTTTCTTGCGATATTATGGCAAAAAGCACACTCGCCATTGCACGTCCTCAATCTTGCATTTTTAGGTTAGATTTCAGTAAAAAAACTTCTGACCAATCTGCTATCATGTAAAATGATAGAAGCGCAAATTTTCATTAATCAACGTTTTATTTCACCTATTTTTTTTATGACAAAAAAGAAAAAACTATCTGAAGAATAATAGTTGTACGAAAACAAGGATCAACGATTCTCGACTACTATGAACACGATATGTTCGAAATATTGTACAATGAGCGAACAATACGAAATATTACGTTTGGAACGATTAATGATGCCAAAAATTGACAAAAATACGTTTAGAAATATCTACGCGCGTCTTATCTAAACACAAAAAAATCACCCAATCGATTGGACGTAAAAAATAATAATTTAACGTTGTTCGAAGATAAAGTGCATCTACCAATATTTAAATAATTTTTATTGAATATCATAGATAATATGAATTAGCAAAGATCATACCCACTTTGTCTCCTTTCAAACAAAGAACAATGTTCATAAACACTGATTATATATACCTGCACGTTTTTTCTGTGGTCTTCATTCTCTTTCTCTTCCATTCATAACACATACTCTATTTCTCTCGTTCTTCCTTTTAAATTTCATATTTCAATTTTATTCTTGAATTCATTCTTTCTTCTCTCTCATTCTCGTTTTCAACACATTCACTCATTCTCGCAACATCGGCGACAGAATCGTCTAATTAACACTTTATGTGGTACTTAGAGAGCTCGCGCATTTGTGCACCTACATATACAATCACACGTATATTTGTATCACGCACGTTATACATATCCATATGTATATGTGCATATGAACCACAGCTGCATCTGCATCTCACACGCGTCTGCACCTAGAAGTTACATTTATTATTACATGATTGTACCTAACAAGCATGAACTTTCCATGATCGAATTGTCTCCCGAGCTTACGATTATAAATATATATATATATATATATGTATATGTATATATGTATATGTATATCTTGGAAACCAAGGGGTCCTCTACGTTCGTTAAGCTGCGCTTAAATAAACTAGTACGT